AGCTGTCCGCGGCGTCGCTTGGGGAGGGAGAGCCCCGGCAGCCTGAGCTGACCCCGGAGGCTGTGCCCCAGCGTTGCGGGCCAGGTGGTTGTTGGCGCTCCGAGGCTCGGCACTGGGGATGCTGTTAGTGGAAATAACGGGGCAGCGTGGGCTGGTGGATGGGTCGATGCAAAGGTGGTTGGAAATGTGTATGTGGATGCACTACAAGGCCCAGCATGGCCAGAGCAGTGCCACTGCTGGTAACGGAGAACGCTGTTCCTGGTACGTGGGTCCCAGGACACTTCCCTGCTTTTGTGGGGAGGCCACTGGCAGATGGCCCTGCATCCTTGCAGTAGGAGGACAACCTCCAGCAGCTTGCAGACATTGCCTCCAAGCATGGAGAAAAGCAACGTCATGGACCTGAACTGAGCAGGACCTGCTGGCAAAGGGCCACCCTGTTAGGGTGTAGTGTGCCTCGAGGGTCTAATGTTCGTCCAAACGCTTATTGTTGCCATGTTAGTGGCTGCTGGCCTGTTGCAAGAGGTGCTGGAGTGCCCATTTACTCTAGCCAAGCTGGTGGGAAGGATCACTGAGCAGTTGAAGCCTTTGCCTACAGCCTGTGTTGTGGTGTGCATTGTGGGCTTGTTGCTGGGAAAGCCATGATGGGTCGTCAGCCCTACACAGCCACTCTACACAGGGTGCACTCTCAGATGGGACAGGGCGCATCAGTGGGGAGCAAAGGGCGGCACTGGGCTGTGTCAGAGGGGCTTCATCAGGTGAACAAACCTGGCACGGCACATGGGAAAAAAATTTTCCTGAAACTCCTATGAAAGATCAGTCCAACAGATTATTGTCAGCATCCGTATCATCATCATTGGCTTGACAGCCATCAGCACTCAAGAGGTTCCCAAAAAGCAGAGCAAGACCTTGGTTGCTATTGTCCCTCTCCTGTGTCATGCACGCGTGACCATGGCCAGAGCACCAGCACTTTCATTTGGGAGTTTGTGAGCAGAGCAGCGTGCCAGTGTGAGCAGGTCAAGGCCTCTTGCTTGAAGAGTTTGTGGCTATCACTATTCCCTCTCCTAGGTTGCCACACTGAGTTCTGGATGGGCTTTTCTTACAGTTCCTCTGGTGACTAGTCCTGGAGCAGCTCAGCTTCACCAAGCTGCTACTTGGCCCCTGAATTTCTCCCAGTGCCAAGCAGCTGGTGTTTGGGCCTAATTTTCCTGAACCTGCCAGCAGAGGAATTGCATTCTGCTGCCTCAGCTGCTTAGCAGCTGCCTTTTCCAGCAGCCAGGCCTGCACATCCAGCACAAACACATGAGCAGTGAGACCTGCCCAGCAGCAGTCTTAATTTCTAGCCTAATCTTGGTCATGAAGGATGTGCTTGCCCAGAGCAGGGAGTGTTGCAAAGAGCAAAAATAATTTTCCAAGCTTGCTGAAGAGCTCTGGAAGAGGTTTAACCAGAAAGCCCTTTGCTGCCACCTGCCCAGCCTCTCACCCCAGGACTTCTCAGGGTCCAGCCCCTGCAGCAAACCCCAACAAGGGAGATCTACAACCCTCCAGCTGGGGCTGCTGGCAGCACTTCCCCCACACCCAGAGTTGGGGACCCCCTCCCAGCTGCCATCTCCATAGCAGCAGCTGCATGTCAAGGTGAGGGACTGTGATGGCTCCAGAGTGTGAGGTCCTCAGCCCAGGGTGGGCAGCAAGAGTGCTCATGCATTGTCCTCCCTCGATCGAGAGTGCTTGGCTGTTGTCACATCTCATTGCCTGGGCACCTCTGCTGCTGCTGCTCCAAGAGCTCTTCTAGGCCAGCTGATGTATTTGACTTTCTGGCTGGGAAGCTGGGTCCCAGCCGTCACTACCGGTGGTGCTGGGGGGCTTGGGGGAGTTTTCTCAGAAAGGATTGGCCAGCTACTGCTGCAAAGCTGCAAGAGAGGACCTCATCTGCTCCACCCCACTGTGCCCCACAGCCATCCTGGCTGCCCCATCTCAGTGGGTCATCAGTGGGTGGGTGGCTACTGCCATCACTTGCTGGGACATGGCACTAGCTGTGCTGGAAGCAGAGTCCCGAGCAGGGGTGGAGGGAATGGCCAGGGGAGGGTGAGGGGTACAGGGGGCACAGAGGTCTGGGGGAGCCTGGTTCCAGCCAGGGTGCCCCCAGCCTTGCTTGACCTCCCCAAAGCTGTGCTGCCTACAGGCATGGTGGAGGCGCCCCTCGACCCTGAGACCATCCTGGTGCTGGAGGTGATGTGCTTCCAGCTGGGGCCGCTGCTGGCTCATGGTGCCAGGGAGTTTTACGAGGCTGCAGGCCCCCACTGTGGCAGAAGGTGCCCATCAAAGTCATCTCCAAAAGGAAGGCACTGGAGGAAGACCCCAGGAAGCCCCTGGGGTAGTCTGGAGTGGGAGGGCATTGGGGGCACCACGGGCAATGGGCAGAGATTCAGAGGGACAGGGAGCTATTGGCGGGGGGGGGGGCCCGCGCGGGGGGTTAACTCAGGTTTCAGCAGACAGGAGGGTGGCGGCCGTGGTGGGCACGAAGTGAGGAATTGCCGGGGGCTAGGGGAGCACTGGTGCGCAAAAGGGACGGGAGTGCAAGGCAAAGAGAGGCCAGAGGGGGGCAGGCCTGTCCCACTTCAAGCCCTTGCTGCCCACGGGTCTTGAAAGGCTTGTGCCGCAAGCGCCTCATCACGCTGTACCAAGGGACGGAGACAGAGGACGGACTTCTACCTCCTCATGGAGCTGGTCCCCTCGGGGATTGTCCTGGAGTGGGTGCAGAGCCAGGAAACCCGTTCCCAGGGCCAGGCAGGGCTCTCGTTCTCCCAGCTGCTCCTTCCTCTGGCCGGTCAGCACAGCAGGGTCATCATCCACCGGAGGATGAGCATGGGGGCACAGGGTCCCCACTCTGGCAGCTGGGTCAGGGCTCCCCGAGGCAGTGAGGGCGCTGCAGGCCCCTGGCCGTGGTCTGGAGGATCATTCCTCCCAGCCCAGCCCAGGCAATGAAAGGCCTCCTGGAAGCCTACACGCCTCTGCCTGCCACACTGCACCTTTACCTACCCTCCCTCCACAGGGCCACTTGCTCCACTGCTCCCAGTCCAAGCCCTCCTCATCCCAGAGGAGCCCCCGACCCCTCATCTACCCACAGCTCCCTCCTTGACCCCTGACCTCCCCCTCCCCGCAGTTGCCATCTGCCCCCAGCACATGCTGCCTCTGCCCCACAAGGACTTGAAACTGGAAAATCTTTTCCTGGACAGTGAGGACAACCTGAAGGTCTCCATCTCCAGCTTCTCCAGGAGGGTGGCACTGCAGGATGCCAGTGGGGAGTCCCACATGTGGAGCTGCCCTCCAAGACATCGCTGAGATAGACCTTCTGCGGGTCCTACACTTATGCCTGACCCAAGATCCTGCAGGTGCAGCCCTATGACCCCTTCGTGGCAGACACCTGGAGCACTGGGGTCATCCTCTATGTCCTGCTCCTGGGCTGCATGCTCTTCAGTGCCACCAACCTGCATCACCTCCTGCGCCAGACCCAGTGCTCCCACCCCGTCTCCCTCCAAAGGCAGCCCCTGCCCCAGAACTGCAAGGTGAGGGTGTAGGGGAGCATTTGAAGGGCATTAGGGGACATTGAGGGCATTGGAAGGTGGGAGAGCAGAAGACAGGGGTCAGTGAAATGGGGGACAGCTATGGGACTTTGAGAGACACCAAGAAAGCATTAAGGAGAGCTAAGGCCATGAGAAGGCACGGGAAGCTTTGAGGCCCATGAGGAAGGATTCTGGAGGGCAGCTGGGGCCAGGTAGGGGCAGCTGCAGGTCATCAGGGGAGAGCTGGAGGGCACTGCGTGGGCCATGGAGGCAGCAGAGGAGTGAGGGGGCAGTGAGGAGCATTGGGGGCAGCTGGGGCACCAGGGGCCGGGGACACTGGGGTGGGAGTGTGCAGGGGTCTCCCAGATGATGGGCTTCCCCCAGGCCCCACCCACGTGCTGTTTTGGGACCCCCTTGACTTCAGGGAGCTGCTAATAAAAGCCTTGAACCCTCTCTTGGCTCCCTCCTCCCTCTTCCCTGGTGGAGCTCCCATCGTGGAGAGCACCTGCAAGGGACCTCCCCCAATCTATGGTGGCATCAACCTCCAGGCCACAAAGCAGCCTCCCCATCTGGGGACATCTCTCTGTTCAGAGATTCTCTGTGATCATGGGAGCTGCCAGGCCCCAGGAATCTGGAGGCTTCCACCATGAGCAGAGCCACCTCCAGCCTCCCAGGACCATTTCTCCAGACCCTTCTTCATCTTCGTGGCCCTTCACAGCACTTGCTCCACTATGTCTGTGTCTCTCTTGTATTATGTGGCCCGGACGGACACAGCACTCTGGGGGGTGGCCTCACCAGGGCTAAGGAGAGGGAAAGACCACCCCTGTCCACTCATTGGCAACACTCCCCTCTAATGCAGCCCAGGAGGCTCTTGGCCTCCTGAACAGCAGCACAACCCTCCAGTTTATCAGTCGTTCCTCCCTGTTATTGGTCATCTGCAAACTTGCTAAGGGTACACTCTGACCCATCATCCAGGCCACTAATGATGAGGAAAAGGAGTGGTGGCCCTGGAGCAGGTTGCCCAAAGAAGCCGTGGATGCCCCATCACTGGAAGTGTTCAAAGTCAGTTTGGAAAAGGCTTAGAGCAACCGACCAAGTGATAGATATCCCTGTCCATGGCAGTGAGGTTGGACTAGGTGATCTTTAAGGCCATTGCCAATCCAAACCACTCCATGATTCTATAACTCTGCACAGACTCTCAGATTCCTGGAGATGAAGTCACCAGATCTGCAGCATCTGGAAGAAGTTCGCAGAAAACGGGTGAGCAAAAAGGAGTTTCAATAACATCCTTGCATCTCGTAACCGTCTGTTACTGGCATGCAGAATGGTTCAGCATAGAGAACACTGTGGAGAGATGCCTTTTGGACACCTTCAGATACACTGGTGAAGAATCACCCAGGGACGAAGGTGAGTAGAACTGTTTCCCAGATGCTTTACTTCTTAACTGACAACTCTGCAGTCTAAAAAGCACTACTAATTGCAACACGGGGCTTTCAGAAACTGGCTTAGCTACAGCCAAGGATGGACCATGAGAGTGGTGGAAGCACCTGAGCTCCATGGGAGAGGCTTGGCTCAGCTCCTGCAGAGCAGACTGGAGCAGCAGCACACACTGCAGCTCCACGGGCTTCAGTCAGCTCTGTGTGTACTGTCGACGAGGAACACGAGCACGTAGCAGGCAGGGAGTTGTGTTGACTTGGGAACATCAGCAAGAGATACTCTTCTGAGTCATTAGCAGCATTGCACAATGGACCTTTCAAAAGCTGGCTCTGCTCTGAGTAACCTGGATTTTCCTGCCTTCAGGAAGTCGGCATGGAAGAATGGCTCCACAGTCCCCTCCATCTGCACTCTCCATAATTTCCTCTACGTGGTCTAACCCGGGGACAGCTGGGTAAGCAGAATGAGGAAGGCCGTGAGGAAGTATGTTGCTGTGCTCCAAAGGCAGTGGAAGAGTGCTCAACCCACCAGAGAGCCCTGCACTGCCCATCAAGCATGAACACATGCCACCAACTTGAGCTATGGCATTTGTGTCATAATTAGTGGCTAGGAACAGCTTGCAGCAGCAGGTTTCCCTCTTCATCCTGTCAGAGAGGAGCCGTTTGAGGAACAGAAAGCTGTGGGTAGCTGTCCTCCTAGCAGCTCTCTCTGCATTTCCAGAAGTACTGCAGTCTCCTGCTCCACCCTAAGTCACCTCTCCTTGGCTTCTGCCCGCCTTTCAAGCACCTCCTCAAAGTACGTAGCTCTGCCCTTTTCCAATTTCTTTGCTGCTTTGAATATCTTTGTGCTCTCCAGAGACTCATCTCCTAACCACTACTTTCTCCTGGCCTTTCAGGGTTCCTTCAATGTCTCCTGCTCTGGATTCTGTCATTTGGAGAGGTTTGGTTGAGCTCATCCACAGCCAAACACAGCTCTCACCCCTCCTCTTGATGATGTTACTTAAGATCTGTGCTCACTTGTTGTCCTTTGCTTTCCATCTCTCTTTCTCATCCCCAGGCCAGGCAGGTGAGTTCAGGTGTGGCTGCCTCTGGAAAATACAGGGTGGGGAGGAGATTGCCATTGGTGCAGCCCAGCATGCCGAATCTTTGCCCCATGGCCTGTCTCCAGACCTCTTCCAGATCATTCCAGACACGCAGAAACGCTATGCAACATGTCCTTCCCCACAGGGATAGTTTCCACTACTGCCCTATCAAAATCTTTGTTCATGCCTTGAGCTAAGAAATCTCAGATTCTTTCCCAACCTTTACTCTGACTGGATTTTCCTGTTCTTCCTGTACATGCTGGCTTTGTAGAACCACACCAAGTTACTGGCTGCTAAGAAATCCTGTGGCAGCACATTCCCGAAGCTGCTCTGCATTGTTCAGATGAAGTATTTGGTGACTGCAGATGGTAGAATTTCACCCTGGTTTGCCTATAACAGCAGCACAAGTAGGGTTTGTAGTGGACCCTTGCCTCAACAAACTCCCATCAAGTCCACCAGAATTCGACCATGGCATTCAGGGTTAATTTGGAATTCAGAATGGATGCTGTGCATTGATTTCTGTGAGTGGGCTAATTTCTGAGGCAGCACTCGTCTCTTTCAATAGGTAAGAAGGGCACGTACTGATCCCAAATGGGAGAACCTCTTCCTGTTCTATAAATTATGTCCTGGCAGCATAGAGCACGTTACACTTAAAGAGGAAAAAAAAAAAGGTGATGTGTGGACTTCTGAACCTTAAAAATCTGCTATTATGAGAGAGACCAAACAAGCATCTGCTTACACTTCTACATAGTTAAGGAAGAGAAGCCTTTAGAAGTGCTGAGAATAGCTTAGGGTTGCCACAAGAAAATATTTGCTTGTGTTCTTTCTAGCACAGAGAAAAAGCCAACTAGTATTAAGGCCTGTGCCACAAAGATGGGCTTTCAAGTAATTTCCCATATTTATCCTTTACCCGGAGGCATACCAGAGGATTTATGACACCCGAGTCCATTCCCCTTGTATCAAAGCTTGTCAGGCAGCTCGCAAGCTTCTCTTCATGGGACTGCAAACCAAGGAGCCCCATACAGCCTTTGGAGAGCCTGCTTTTGGAGTGACCATCACTCATGACATGCCATCAGACAAAGTCAAAAAGGGATTAAAGAAATCTTGGAAAGCATTGTATTACTTATCACTTACTAAATGCGCTGCTAATTGAAGTCTTGAGTTGCTGATAAGAACCAGAGAGTGGTCTCAGGAACTGGCTAAACCCGACCCCCCGGATTGAGCAAGAACCAGAGAACAACAGAGTCTGCGCACAAACAAGGGTTACTAGCGGTCACGGAAAAAGGTTCTCCAGCATGACCACCAGAAGGTACTGCGCAAGCGCAGTTAGGAGGAGTTTATGGAAATGACTTCCTGGAACTAATCTTAATACGAAGCGGGGATAGGTCATGCATATGTATAGGCGTATTGGGAAATCTTATGTATATGTAACATTTTACCGCATATAACCTCGGCGAGCAGCGGCACTCGGTGCACAAGGTTTTAAGAAAGATCTACCTTGCTGCCCACCGGTGAATAAACATACCTACTTTACAATCTTACGGATTGTGGGGTCTGCTTTGTATCCGCACATCAAAAGCAGACAAAACACATGTGGCTAACAAGCCCCAATCCCAGCATTCAGTCTTCCCAATGAGACACAGGACATGAAACAAAACCAGAGAACACTCTCCTTTGCTGTTCAAGGCATGCAAGAGAACAACCCGTTTGTCCAAAAGCTTGGTTGAAAATTTTAGCAACTATGATCTCAGAGAAAATCTCTAAAAGGTCTCAAATGTTAGAAGAAGCTTCCAGAGACATGACAAAACACTAATCAGCAGATTACACAGTACTTTCTGCTGAGATAGTTGAGGCTTGTATTTTAAGAATTGCTTCCTCCTGTTTAGTCCACTGCCTTGTCTTTGCTCCTATGATTAATTCATTCATGTATTTCACTTGAATCTCCATCTTCCATTGCGTAGAGGATCGTTCAGCAGCAGGTCAGAAGAAATGGGTGCAAGACAGCTGAGATCACTCTTCCAGGAATTGCCTTTTTCCAGGAATTGCTTCACATTTTCACTTTACGGGAACACAGAAGGTACCCCAATAGATCAACCCAGCAGCAGCAGTGGGAGACAGAACACATGAGCACGACTGTCTTCTGCAGTGCATCACTGTCCCGCTCCCCAGTAGCACAGACAGTGCAGTCACCAGCTATTGCTGATACTGGAGAGGATGTTTTATTTGTTCTTTATTTGCCACTGCTTGTTTCCAGTGCAGAATCCTCACACTGCTAGGGAAGTTCTGTAGCAGGTTAGCCTTGCCTGTGTGCGTCTGCAGAGATCAGCAGATGAGAACATGCTTTCTAAAGGGGTATCATAACCTCCCAGGCGGCTACAGAGCAAATGGGAAGGAGGCAATCACATATGAAACTTTGATATGGCTGCCTTCTGCTACAGAGGAAGTTTTGGAAGACAAAACAGTGGAAGGCAATGATCTGTGTTCAGGG